CTTTCTTAAATAGCTGGGATTCTAGGCTCTCAATACCAAGAGTTCCTCCAAGTTCAACCAGCCAGGACCAGCCTGAGGCCTAATTAATAGGCATAAAAAGCTTGACTACTTCCTTCCTCCTTTCTTCTTACCTTGTCACTCTCCTTTTTCTTGGTTCAAGAAGGCTCTTCAACAATGACAAGGTAAGTCAGAACTAGGGTCCTTATGCAGGTCCCAATTTCAAGAGTTTCATCCCATCTCCCTCTCCATCCATTAGTAAGAATGGATATAATATATCCATTACAAAAATCCTATATAATAAAGAGCTAATATGCAAATGGTCATCATGCCCTTGTGCCCTCAAGCTGAGGACCTGAGGTCGGGCCAGGGGACCTGAGGCTGCACCCCCTCCACCCTGCAGGGCTTGACAGGGGTGGGGCTGGCCAGGTCTGGGTGTTGTGTGATTTCAAGGCACGCACGGGTGGGCAGGGACTTGACTCTGGGTCCCGCGGCGTGCCCCAGACTCTGACAGGAGGGAGATTTTCACATACATTTTACTAATTTTCTTTCACCTCTGACATTTCTATTATAGGGAAAAGGTAAATAGCAATATTAAAATATTTCCTCTAATTAATTCCCTTTTAATGTGCACAAATTTCGTGCACTGGGCCACTAATGTATTATATTTTCAGAACACTGACCATATGCCATGTACAAAGTATTTTGCCACATTTAATTCTCACAACAATCCCATGAGACAAATATGATAGTTGTTCCCATTTTGGAAGTGAGGGCCTAAGTCCAAGGAAGGTGAAAAGACTTGCCAAAAGCCACCCAACTAGGATATAACAATACAGCATTGCAACCCAGTTCTGTGAGCTCTGAAGTGCACCTACTTAAGCCATATAAGCTTCCCAGTTACATCTGTGGTCTGTTTTCAAGATGGCAGCCATTAATGTGATCCATGAAGCGTGGGCTAAAAGGAGGGGACACCATTCATCTACCATTTCTTCTAACCCAACATGACCAATGAGGTGATTTCCTGTGAGTTAGAAGGGGAGAGAAAGGAGAGCCATCCTTCTGAACTCTAGTGCTCAAAGGGCTCTAAGGCCTCACCAACCTAAGCCTGGGGCACATGGGAGAAGGGACCAGCCTCTTTGCCTTGCAGAGTGGGCAGAAGCTGAGCTGTGAAGATGAGTCTAATACCCTGTTTTCTCACCTCAGCTGCCAGGTTCCTTCCTGTTCAAAAGCCACTGAAGTGGATGCAAAAGGCAACCAGAGCCTGAAGCCTTGGCACCTCCCCCACCTGCAAAGGTCAGATAGTCTTCTTGGGAACACAGCAGAGGAAGCAATGTCCTCAGACACCCTGGGCTGGGAGATGACTTGCTTCATTTTCTCCCTTCCCACAGAGCTCTAGCACCCATGCCAGTGAAGACTTTGAAGAAAGAGTGGATGGGGCCTCAGGTGCCGGCAGGAGAGGAGGCTGGGGAGGAAGAAAGGCTATGTCTGGTTTGGTCTTTCCCCACCATCCACAGAAGGCTCCTCCTTCACTTCGGAGCCTCCTAACCAGAAGTACAAATGAGACCCCCTGGGATCCCAAAATAGCTCCCCTCACAGCTGCACAGCATCCATTTATAGCACAGCCTCTCTGCAGCCTCGGGCTGCTCCTGAGATGGCACTTCTGAGGTCAGTGTCTGTGAAAACCAGCCTCAATGTCATTTGAGAACAGAAATGGTCATAAAGGACCTATTATGATCTTGTCAATGTTTTTTAGGACGTGCCCCAATCCTTAGAGACTTGAAAGGGCCACATTTGTTTTGACCCAGAGCCAGACCACTTTATGTCCAACAATAACCCAGAAGTGCATCAATGACCCAGAAGCGCATCAGGTCCCTTCCCCCAGTGCCCCACAGCAGGTGAGACTGTTCTGTGTGGTGGCAGCAGGAACACACAGTACCAATTTTATGCTTGGGCCTCAGGTCAAGTAACTCAGACACCCCCAGGGTACATCCACCAGTAGGCTTTATGTATCGGATGTTAATTTATTAACAATGAAAACCACGGCCATTCATTGACTTCATCCACTCACGTGACTCATACCAATTCTGAATGTCAAATTACAGAGCAAAGAGACAACCTTAACCCCTATGCGCTGTGTCTGTAATACCTTCTCAACCCTGATTTAAAACAAATGAACTTTCTCACACTTGGCTTATTTAGAAAGGGGATGAAATGTGTCGCCCATTCATAACTAAATGTATTTTGCTTTTTCACTGGACACAGGAGTACCAAGAAATGAGTATGCAGCCAGAGACCCAGATGCTACTAATGTTGAACATGCAAAATATACAGGTATCAAAATAGTGCTCATGGAAAGCCGGGTACTGAAGGCAGTGAGAACCTTGTTCACCTTTTCTAATATTAATACTAATCAAGGACATTGGTTGAGCACGTTCTCTCTGCAAGGAGCTGTGCAAAGAAAGCCCTTTGCTTCCAGAATCTCCTTGGCTCCCTATGATTACCTTGCAAGGTGGGTCCAATGATCATTTCTATTTTTCAGATGAGGCCACTGAGGCTCAGAGAAGGTAAGTTACTTCCTTCCAAGGTCATACAGCTACTAGGTGGCCCAGTGAAGATCTGAAACTGGCACTTAGTTCGGGTGGCCATAGCTCAGGTGGTCAACACTGTGTGCTGTTGCCTGGTCTCCTTCCACTCAGCTGTGTGTTTGCTGTAACAGCCAAGTTGGCTTCACAGATCAATGTTGCAGCTTCAGGCAGGACAGGAGAACTGACATTGCTAACACAATTTGCTTTATATTTATTTAAATGCTGTTTGGGCTATGACTTCATTGGGTCTCTCCTTCATCCTTGCTTTTTGGTTTGGTTTCACTCCTCTGTCAGGAATTGTGTGGTCTTCCCTCCTCAAATTCCTGAACTGCTGATTCAGCACCAATGCCTTGTGCTGTTCTCCCAAAGGACAACTGGGTTGTCCTCTAAGTTGTACCATAAAATCGCTCCTCGCCATATGCCCTCCCTGGAAGGAAAGGGGAAGGGCTATTACCCAATAGTTTCTTCAGAGTGAAAAGAAGAAAGGAAAACACACGCTGAGCTTCAAGATCCTCAAGCTCATTTTTGAGGTGACTTCTTCCCAGACTCAGCTTCAAATGGACCAAATGGACCGGGGAACACTGCCTGCCTGCCTGCCCCCTCAGAAAGGAAAATCCAATTGTAAATACTATCTGCACTTCTAAGAACATTTGAATGGTAATACCCAAGCAATTACTTTCCTTTCAAGATCATTAAACACAAATCAGAGTGGTACTTTAATAGGGCAGCCAATGTCGTTAATGGTGGGGAGGGTGGCATAAAGTGTAAGTTTTCCCTCTAATGGCTGAATGTTTACATTATTGCCCTTTCTGAGAAGCTTCGCTGGTAGTGAGGGGGAGTACTCAATGCTCCAGAGACATTTCTAGGCTTTCTCGCACCCCAGAATTCCCCCTTCTTTTGCCACCTTCAGAGCATTTGGAGGAATGGCAATCGTCACTGTGGCCCATGATAGCTCCATCCACCCCCCTGTTACCCACAGTCTCCCTCATCCAGCTTCTCCCCATGAACACCAGAGGGGCCCAGGGAAGAAGGTGGTCTCTGGAAGGAATAAACAGTGGTTTTTACATAGGAGGCTCCACTCTCACGACTGGGATCCAAGCTCTTCCCTAGCTTCCTCCTATTTTAGGGAACAGAGGTGCTTTAAAGAGGTGCCAGAGGAACCTGTCCAGGTAGAGGGATGGATCCTTTGAGAAGAGAGGCCTGTAGAACTTGTTATCCCCTTCTCCCTGACTCCCTGGTCCCCAGTGGCATCTCTGAGACCACAGAGAGACAAGCTGTTGCCCAGTAGAAGGTGGGCACTAAAGTCCGTGTAGGGGCTCCTGGTAGGCACACTCACCAGAGGTGCTGACCCCAGGTATAGGGTGGACCATCCCTCACCTCGCGCTGCTGAGCTTCTGCCAGTCCCTTTGCTGGTGGCCACATAGCATGTCCTAGGGCCCTCCCTTGGCTCCCTGTAAAAGTGACCTGAATGGGTGCCAATGGTGTGAAGTCTCAGGTTCACCCAGAAGGTGTCCCTGAACATTTCTCCTGCCTGGCAGTTGGGGTCTGAGAGTCCTTTGACAGGGTCTGATGCCTTTCACTGTTCATTGAGAAATTGGACTGCAAATAGGGTGTTGTGGGGCTATTTTCCTTTAAATTTGTGGTTTAGAATATTTTTATTTTTTTTAACTTTATTGAGGAATAATTGACAAATACAATTGTACATACTTAATGCATACAGTATGATTATTTAATATACATATACATATACATATACATATACATATACATATACATATACATATACACTGTAGAATGACTTGTTTCATTTTGACCTGTATTTCTAGAGCATGGAAAATAGAGTATGCCTAGGTTGTCATTTCTAAGGAGCAAAGTAGTCAGGGGCACAGGCTTTAGAATCAGATAGCTCCAAGTTTTAGTTGGCTCAGTTGCTTTTATGTGACCAAAAGCAGTTTGTTTAAAGTCTCTAGGCCTTGATTTCTTTACCTATAAAATGGAGGGGAGGGCCCAGAGGCTGATAATACTGATTTCACAGGGTGGTTATGAGGATTAGATGTATGTAAAGTTGTTCAAAAAGGCTGCTTCATGGTAAGTACTTAATGGTCATTTTTCTGTTCTGGAATCAGCTGTCTGCCTGCTCCAGACACTTCCAGCACTGAATGTGTAGACATAACAAAGTGGTACAGTTACTTCCAAGGTTTATGTGACTGCTGTCATAGTCATTCTTAGTATCAGCTTTAGATAGAAGGGGGAGACCAAGCAACAAGCCCTGCTGAGTTCGCAGCTCTGCAGAGAACTGCTGCATCCCCGTCTGTCCCAGGGGAGTGTGACAGTGAGGAAGCAAATACTCCCCAGTAGTCGTGCTTCTCTGGGACAAATATTCACTTCACTTTTTTTCTTTCTTTTTGCTTGCAGGTCTCATCCAGGTAATGCCACAAGAATTGTCCTATTCATATCTATTCAGTACACTACTCTAGCGATGGAGCCCAGAAGATGCCTTACATTCATTGACCAAAAAACAAAATGTCCAAAAAACATGGCTTTCCAATGGGCACAGAGTGATAGGAAGTTTGGCATTTGGGAGAGCTACGTTTGCCCAGGGCCACCAATGAGGTCCATGGTCCTGGAACATCTTTTATACTCAGATCAGCCAATAACAAACACAGTCATGTCCACCAATTTCATCAATGTGTCCCTCCCCTCCCCCAACTTCTCCTGCTCTGGCCTGGTTTGTTTACCTTTCTGATTCTTTTGGACAAGGACAAGATCAAACTCTGGGTACCTTCAGTGCCTAGTCTACTGGTTTAATCAAGAGGAGTGAGTATTCTGGCAACTGGAATCTCAATATTCTGCTCAAGAACCTCCATTTTTACCCCTGGAAAACACAAGTATCTAAAAAACATCATCTTGAGAAGTATTTATTTAAGGATTTGCCTTGAATCTTTCTCTAATAAAGCTAATTATGAAATGATACTCCCAGCAACAGCTATTGCTACTTAGCCCTGTGGAGGTAATAGTAGATCAGCAATAAAAGCTTTTAATGCGTTCTCATTTGAAGCTCACAGAATGGGTGATTGACACCTGCCCGGAGGGGTTCATGGCTGAGTCTCTGAGCTTTTGTATGCATTCACTAGTTCTCATGGTCCGAAGGAGGCAGGCCTGACATGTCCAAGTCAAGGCTGCCTGATTCTGTCAGGGAGCTGGAAGGTAAAGTTATCTTAAAAGTTTAATAACATCCTTTCCTTTATAAAATAATACCTGTTACTATAGCAAATTCGGAATCTTATTTATAAATAAGTAGGAAAAAAAAGAGAAGAAATCCATCCATAGTCCCACCACTTAAAGATAACCAATGTCAGCCTTTAGAAATACTTCTGTCCATTTTTTTCCTTTTCATGATTTTTTTAATTTATTGTACAGTGTGATTGTACAGTTCATACAATTTTTTCCTGCTCTTTTCCAGGAGCATAGCTATAAACATGTTATTGAAAACTTTTTACAAATGTAATTTTAATAACTAACATTTTGTTGTAAAATTTATCTGACCATTTTCATATATTGGAGATTTAGGTTGTTTCCAATTTCCTGTAATTACAAATAATGCTATAAAATATTTATGAGTATAAAACTTTTTTATTATTTAAGTCCCAGAATTAGAAGTACTGGGTCAGAAGGTAAACAATTTATAGCTCTTAATCTATAATGGATAGTGGAAATGTTATGTTGGCAAAGAGGGTGGACTTAATAGCTATTTTATGTTTCAAAGATTTTTCTTTTTCCTATATTTATGTGCCTTTCAAGGAACTACAAGACTTGCTAGGTATTGATTTTCAATATCAAACATTTGAGGTAGTGTATAATTCTCACCTTTCAAAAGGGTGGTATTTGTAAATAACATTAGAACCCAAATCAAACACACTTAAGCAAAAAGGACCATTTATTGGCTCATCTAATTAAACTCCAGAGGTAATATGCATTCAGGAATGGTTGGAACCAGGACCCTGGTTTTCTTTTCCCCATCCTTTGGCTTTTATTCTCTATGGGCTTAATTCTTAGGCGCTGTCTTTCCTTTTGCTCATAAGATTATGCTAGAAGCTCCATCTCCATTCCACCTTCCCAGCAATTCTAGTGGAAAAAGCTTACCTCTTTCCCACTAGTCCTAGCAAAATTCCAGAATTGAGACTTATTAGCTCTGATTGGCTTAAATTGATTCATGTGACTTGGTCAGTGGGATATTATACTCTGTTTGGCCCAGCCTGGCTTATCTGCTTTTCCCTAGAGCTGAACAAGGAATCCTTTCCACCTAGACCAAAACTGACTGTGTGTGGAAAAGAGATAGTCCCCCAAAAGAGAACGAGGAGGTGTCACCTGAAGAAGGGGGATGAATGCCAGCCAAGCAAGAACAAGTGTCCATTAAAAAGCACTCCTCTTTTATTGTGCTCCCTGGAGCTCTTCCTCTAACATATGCACCTCAAACGAGGTATTATTGCCTTGATAAAGGAGCTGAGCCCTCGTGACACTCTACGGGAGTCACATGATCATTAACACCAGGTAAACAGGCCACCGTGGAAGTCATTTCTAGGAAACCAAACCCATTTCTTTGCTTATTTGTTTGGCAAATATTTGTTTTAGCACCTACCTTGTATCAATTCAGCATTTATTTAGCTGCCGATGTTCTAGGTGCTGGGAACACAATGGTTCCTATCCAATCTTGCCTTCTAGTTTAACCTTTTGAAGGCTCTCATGAATTACCCAAGATGTCTCCAATGCACCCGGCTGTCCACAGGCCATGCATGTGTTTATTTACAGTTGGAATGGCTCATTGCTGCTCTGGCAGGCTGGGCTATAATTTGTTCAGGCACTTAAGCTTACTATTAAAAAAAACACTACTTCTTCACTAGTCTTAATTTGGCTGTTATGTTTGTAGTGGAGATTGTCTGTATGCAGCATTCAACTTAAATGCAGCAGAAATGTAAAATAGGGCATGTGAAAGAAAATAGGTAAGAATTGCTAATACATCCCTGCAAATGAATATAGCTTCTCATGTGGCCTTTGAAGGTATTTGCATAACCTAATTTCCCACACCAGAATTGCTGTTATTCATTCACATGCTGAAATCGTTCTAAAAGAGAGAGGAGTCATTTGTACTTTTAGTCATTGGTCATTTTACTTGAATATCACAACACATTTTAGTTAGAAACATCTCCCTAGAGCATAAATATCATGGAACCTGGTATCTGAAAGACGTATTGAAATTAGTGAATGAGTGTTCATTCATTCAGCAAACATTGATGGAGTCATGTGCTCTGAGAGCATTTTTGAGCCAAACGAAGATACTGAAGTCGACGAATCTTTCATGATGCAATGTCCCCAAATCTGAAGAGGAGTCAGCCAAGCAAAGAGGGCAGGGCATGGTGGATGCTGAATAAGAAGACTCTTCATGGACACACTGACTGTGTGACCCCAGAAGTCAGTTGTCTTCCTAACTTCATTTTGCTGATTTTGCACTCTGAGAAACAGGGTCAGGAAAGGTAAGGAAGAGGCCGAAATGTGAAGAGGTTAGGAGCTCAGGTGACAAGCTCCCTAAGACTTGCCTTTAATTGCTAGTTCCCTACTTACTAGCTGTGTGACTAGGGTGTTTCTCTTCTCTAATGTTAATGTTCACAACTGTAATTCGGGGTTCATATGAGGTCCATCTCAGAAGATTGCTATGAGAAACACCCTAGATACTGCATTGAAAGCACTTAGCTTAGTGCCAGGCATGTAACGAGGCCTCGGTAAATGCATTACTATATTTCTGCATTACTATTACTGTTACAATTATTGTTGCTATTGTTACCTCGGTTGACAACTTTAATTACTGTAGTAGGTGCCAAATTCTCTCACTTATTTCATATATATTTAGTGGGGCCCATTATCCACCAGGCACACACCAGATGGGGATAGAGCCGTGAACAAAGGGAAAGGTTCCTGCTGACAAGAAACTTAAAGCCCAGTGGAGACATACAAAATTAGCAAACAAACATATCTATAATAATAAAAGTGTAATATGCTAATTAGACTGGACATCCTTCCATATGTCCTTCCGTCCTTCCGGATGAAGCCGGGGCTGCGAGGGAAGCCTGGGTCCCAGGTGCCAGAGGGAAGCCGGTGCTGAAGGAAGGCCTACTCTTGCACGAATTTCATGCAACGGGCCTCTAGTACATAAATAATGTAAGTTCAGAGGTGAAATGTGCTCTGAAGGAAATAAAACAGAAAGTTGTAACACAGAGTGATGGAAGGTAGGGGGATCTTCAGATAGGCAGATATCTTGCCGAAGATGTAAATGCTGAGAAGACAGCAGTTAAGTCAAAGTCCTGAAGGAGGTCTCTGGCTGATGCCTACATTTCACTTATTCTAAGTTCATTTGCAACAAAACATCTTTTTGGAAAATGGCAATTTGGATTCAAGAAAGAAGGCTAAGGTCACTTGAACTGTAATACATTTAAAGACGTATCTGATACTAATACTACTCTGTCTTTTCTCTCTCTCTCTCTCTCTCTCTCTCTCTCTCTCTCTCTCTCACACACACACACACACACACACACACACACACACACACACACACTTCTTCTGAGATCTTAGGATTCATTTTTACAGCTACTTGAGGTATTAGATTAGTAAGTAACCCAGCTAACACGAGCAGAGCCTATAGCTTTACTTTGATGTAGAATTGAGCACAAAAGTATCTCTGAACAATTTCTCCCATCATCTTCTTTGAATTAAAGCACAGAGCTGCGGGTGCTGGCTATTCCTCTGTCCTGCTGCATCCTGGATGCACAAAAGTATCTCTGAACAATTTCTCCCATCATCTTAAAGCTTAGAGCTGCGGGTGCTGGCTATTCTTCTGTCCTGCTGCATCCTGGACGCTGGAAGTTGTTATCCCGGCATTCCATGCCTCTCCAGCCTCATTTCTCCTCACTTTTTCATGGAGCCCTATTTCCAAATGACTTGCCATTCCTTGCTCCTTCTGCATGTTGAGCCTTTGAACTTTTGGTTCCCTCTCTCCCTACTGTCTGAGGTCCCCTCTTTTTCTGCTGGCTAATTTCTTATTCTTCCTCTAAGACTCAGAGCAGGTAGCAATGCTCTGTGAAACTTTCCTATTTCTGCTTTCCTCATCCTGTATCCCCTTCATCTCCCACCAAATAGGGTTCAGAACCTCTTCTATCTGCCCACATTGCCCTATCAGATCATAGCTATTAATTTGCATGCCTTTCTCCCTTGGTAGACAATGAGCTCCTAGAGGGCAGGTACTGTGTGCTGTATATATCTATATCCAGGCAGCTTCACCAGGCACTGCCCAATTTTCCATGATGATAAAAATGTCCTATATTTGTGCTGTCCAACACAGTAGCTACAGGAGGCTTTTGAGCACTTGAGATGTGGCTAGTGCAATTGAGGAAATGAATTTTATTTAAATATATGTTTTTTACATTTTTAATTACAGTTGACATGCAATATTATATTCATTTCAGGTGTACAACCCCTGAAATTACTAGACATTTCTATAACTTATGGAGAGATCACCCCAATAAATCTAGTACCCATCTGAAACCACATATAGTTATGAATTTTAAATTTTATTTCATTTAAATGAAACTGAAATAGCCACATGTGGCTAATGGCTACCATTTTATTGGACAGTGTAGATAAGCCCTTTATGCAGCACACAGCAGGTGTCAAATAAATGGCATCTCTTGAAGGAGCATATAGTTGTAGAACTCTATATCTTTTATGTGACAGTAAGGACTGAAAGATCAATTCTTTTGCCTTTTATTTTTAGTGACTTTGATCTCTCAACTGCATTAATACTGTAACTCACTGGGCCAAAACAGCAAGTTTATCAACTTATTATTCTATTGTGGCTATGCACATAAGTTCTGGATTCAAATAAAACCCAAGTCTGATCTAGCTTCACCACTTACCGGTACTATTAACCATGTACCACTTCCAAGTTATTTGACCTCTCTAGGACTCA